TATCCTTTCACTGTAACTATTTCACAACATTTACTCCTTCATAAATGAACATTCACACATTCGTCTAACATAATAAATTTGATAGATTCGTATATATGAAGCACAATGACACTTTGTGCTGATATATTTCCAACTAAATCATAAATATATTTGGTTAGATTTTTGGCAAACATATGTCGGTGTGGGTGTGTGTGTGTGATATTTACCCAAAAACCAAATTATAATTTATCATTGTCAATGTGTGTATGAATGTTTTGAAAATTATGTTTCAAACTCACATTAAACCTACCCACAACAAATTTATAACTATTTATGTATGTACATTTCGGATGAATGATATCGGAACTATTAGATTTTGTTGCGTGCAGGATAGAACCTACCATCAGTCAATGTCAATTCAAAAAATTCAAATTTTATAAACCAAGCATCCATGTGGCAGAAATATGATTAGAATATGAAACAATCGGTCATTGTCAATGGTAATTTTTATTTAGTATTAATATAATAGACTTTTTAAATGATTACCAGATTAAGGGATTTAATAAATGATTTAGCTAAAAATACCAGAAATAAAAAAATACTCCCAAATATATAGATACTATACATATATTTAAGAAGAAGTACAATGTAAACATATAGTAATTTAAAATTATAATAAATGGACTGTGATAAAATGTGAAACTAAAACAGTTAAAACCAGTAAGGAAAGTAGTAAAGTCGGACGGGGCCGACTATATTATACCCTTCACCACTTTGGGTATATTCAACAGATGGAATCGTAACAGACGTCGCATTTTTGAAGGACCATTAACATGAAACTAAACATGTCATTCTGCAACCTATACTAAATTTTGGTCAGATATAGAGTTGCTTCTTAAAATGGGACAAAATTATATAAATAATTTTAAAGCAAAATATCGAAATCTAAACCGATTTCATCGAAACTTGTCACATGTTAGGTTACACTTATATCAGTATGCTTTGAGCATTCGGCACTATTTTGAGTTCTTCATTTACTTATAAATCCAAACTTCGTGCAAATCGGAGGATATATAGAGACTTTGGTGCACCATTTACATAAAATTGGACGAAAATATATATTGGAACTATATATAAATCTAAACCGATTTTCACGAAATTTAACACACCTCTTTCTAGACTTAATTCAGTACGCTGTGCCAAATTTTGTGCAAATCGAAGGATATATAGGGACTTTTGTGCACCATTTACCTAAAATCGGACGAGAATATATATGGGAGCTATATCTAAATCTGAACCGATTTTCACGAAATTTAGCACACATCATTCTAGACCTTATTGAGTAGGCTATACCAAATTTCGTGCAAATCGAAAGGTATATAGGGACTTTGTCACACAATTTACATAAAATCGGACGAAAATATATATGGGAGCTATATCTAACTCTGAACCGATTTTCTCGAAAATTGGCACACATCACTCTAGACCTAGTTCAGTAGGCTGTAACAAATTTCGTGCAAATCGGAAGATATTAAGGGACTTGGGTACCTCAGTTACCTAAAATCGGGCGAAACTATATATGGGAGCTATATCTAAATCTGAAACGATTTTCACGAAATTTGACACACATCATTCTAGACCTAGTTTAGTAGGCTGTACCAAATTTCGTGCAAATCGGAAGATATTAAGGGACTTTGGTACCTCAGTTACCTAAAATCGGGCGAAACTATATATGGAAGTTATATATAAATCTGAACCGATTTTCACGATACTTGGCACACATCATTTTAGGCCTAGTTCAGTAGGCTGTACCATATTTCGTGCAAATCGAAAGATATTTAGGGACTTTGGTAGCTCCTTAACCTTAAATCGGACGAAAATATATATGGGAGCTATATCTAAATCTGAACCAATTTCAATAGGGTTCGTCCTTGGGCCAAACAAATGAGCTGTGCCAAATTTCATCCAATTCGGATCATAAATGCGACCTGTACTTTGTTTACAATTTAACATGGACAGACGGACGGACGGTCGGACGGACATGCATAAATCGAGTTAGAAAGTGATTCTATGCATATTCTCAAAGGGAACCATGGGTCTACCTCGATTATTTTTGCCTGTTACAAACATATGCCCAAAGACATAATACCCTGTACCACAGTGTGGTGAAGGGTATAAAAATGTAGTCAAATTCGTTCGTTATAAACTTTGTATACCCTCCACAAAGAGGTTAACATTCAAAATGCCTAAAATCGATCCGGACTTTTAAATGAATTAATTGCTGTCAAGATAAACGAAATATCAACCTACAGATTCTCTTGAGGGAAAATTGGACTAAAATTTTGAATATGTCGAAATGTGTTTCAAAATACCAAAAATGGGGGTACCGTTATGTGAGAGTTAAACCATAACGAGGACAGATATGGATAGTATGTGGTAGGCAGAATCGACACCAATCGTGTCAATCGTGCAGACTTGGAGTCAATGGTGTACTACTTGTATGCAATCGTATGTATGAGAGCGATTTGTACCGATTTGAAGCATAGCGCGCAGCCAAAGAATTTATCGATTTAATTAAAACTTCTAACACTTTTTTTTACTCAACTCAATACGTTATGCAAAATGTAGGGTATATTAATTTTGTTTTTCCGTTTGTAACTCATCGAAATAATCATTTCGGACCCTATAAAGTATATATATTCTTGATTAGCGTAAAATTCTAAGACGATCTAAGCATGTCCGTCCGTCTGTTCCTCTGTTTTAATCACTCTAGCGTCTAAACGAGTTGAGATAGATCGTCAAAATTTTGCATAGACAGATTGTCTGCAGGCAGATCAAGTTCGAAGATGATATATCGGTCCACGTTTAGGCATAGCTCCATAGCTATAAGGGTACCCCCCCCCCCAAATTTTCGGTATTTTGGGGTTCTTGAGCGGTTTTTTTCAACCGAATTCGCTGAAATTTGGTATATTGAGTTGCTATTTTTCCACAAAAAATTATACATATAGATCCATTTTTTCTGGTAGCCCCCATATAACGGTACCCTCTAATTTTCAGTATTTTGAGGGTTTTGATCGTAGTTTTCAGCCGAATTGGCTGTAATTTAGTACTTTGAGTTCTTATTGGGTACCAAATCTTTCCACTAAAAATTATAAATAAAGGTCCATTTTTTCTGGTAGCCCCTATATAAGGGGTAGTCCTCATATAACCCTTTTTTATACCCTTCACCAAACTGTGGTACAGGGTATTATGTCTTTGTGCATATGTTTGTAACAGGCAAAAATAATCGAGATAGACCCATGGCTCCTTTTGAGAATATGCATAGAATCACTTTTTGAGTCGATTTAAGCACGAAATTTGTCACAGCGTAGCAAATTAGGTCTAGAATGATGTGTGTAAAGTTGCCTGAAAATCGGTTCAGATTTATATATAGCTCCCACATATACTTTCGTCAGATTTAATGTAAATGGTGCACCAAAGTCCCTATATATCTTTCGCTTTGCACGAAATTTGGCACAGCGTAACAAATTAGGTCTAGAATGATGTGTGTTAAGTTTCCTGAAATCGGTTCAGATTTAGATATAGCTTCTATATCTGACCAAATGAACAATTTAGTATCTGTTGCAGAATGACGTGTTTATGGTTCCGATTTCATTTTACTGGTCCTTTAAAAATGCGACTTCTGGTAGGATTCATCTGTTGAATATACTCAAAGTGGTGAAGGGTATCATATAGTCGGCCCCGTCCGACTTTACTGCTTTCCTTACTGGTTTATATTAAAATAGTTATGCAATTTTATTAAAATAGTTATGCAATTTGTTCCGCGTTTTGGGTTTGGTTCTAAGACTCTGTTGTAATCATATCACCTGCAGAGGATATCGAGATAAAAAACTAGAACGTAAGGTTCGATAATGAACTATATATGAACTATAACCCGTATTTAGACCTAGCCCCTGTGTGGGAGGTACCTGTAGGAGTGGACCGATATTCCCCGAATTTGAACTAAGTTTGGAAGAAATAATAAGATGGGCAAAGTTTGGATGAAATCTAAATTTTCTGAAACGGATTTGGTCCAAAGAAACGTGGTGTCTAGAACCAATATTTCGATGAGGCACATTTTCACGGTGTAATGTGTATACACCCTCATTAGCCATAAGGCTGAGGTTCGGTTTAAGGGTTTTTGGAGATGTTTGTGACATATTTTTGATCTGAATTGTCAGTCAGTTTGATATTTTAAATTCCCATTGGTCCATGTTTCGCAGTATCCCACATAAAGCGGTATTTCACAAACGCACCTGTAAGTTGATATTGGCCATCCGGTGTCAAATCTTAACCCAAATAATACATAACAGTACAACGCCATTTTCGATATTCTAAGGTTTTCAACACATTTCCCCAAAAAGTATCTACGTGGCTTTGGACGCTGACATACATACTTGCAGATATTTATAAATATACGTCAAGGCCATATAAAAGAATCCATTGTTATTTTTAGGTTTTAGACGCATTCACCCCATTTCATTGATTGCATTTCTTCTTCTTCCCTTACAGATTCATCGTCTGCAAAACAAACCGGTGTCATGGGTGCGTTTACGTGATGGCCATATCATTTCCGTGGATCAGACCACTTTTATTGCCGATGAACGATTTCAGGCAATATTTCAAGATGACAAAGAGTACACCTGGTCGCTGCAAATCAAATATGTACAACCATCCGATGAGGGTTGGTTTGAGTGTCAGGCTAGCTCGGAGCCCAAAATGAGTGCGAAAGTCTATTTGAAAGTGATTGGTAAGTGTTTGGATTGCAACAAAAAACCAAATGATGTTAATTCGATTCGACAACACCTACACAAAAAAATACATTACCATGCAAACACTGAAAATTGCCAATGAATGTGTTCATTCAGCCATTCTTTTTTTGCATTGATGTGTGTGTGTGTGAGTGGCATTGTAATTTAAATGTTTGCCAATTTCTTTGTTTTCTCCCTTCTCTTTTTGCAACATTGGCCACATTGCTCATTTAGTACCATTAACCGAACTGATTGGTGACCAATCACGTTTTGTTAAGGCCGGCAGCAAAGTGGCACTGCATTGCATTGTGCGTGGCACACTGGATCCGCCACAGTACATTATCTGGTATCGTGATAAAACACAAATAAGCGATGACAATAAACTGGGCTGGTATACACAATTGGATCGAAATATATTTGGAAATAATGGTGATAATGAAAATACGGTAAGTTTCGCTGGCAATCCAATCCCTATGTCTATTATACTATTTATACCCTTCACCACACTGTGGTGCAGGGTATTATGTCTTTGTTAATATGTTTGCAACAGGCGAAAGGAAACGAGATAGAGCCATGGTTCCTTTTGAAAATATGCATTGAATCGCTTTCTGAGTCGATTTATGCATGTCCGTCCGTCTGTCCGTCTGTAGATGTTAAATTGTAAAGGTCGCATTTATGCTCCGATTTGGATGAAATTAGGCATAAGTCACTTATTTGGCCCAAGGACGAACCCTATAGCTCCCATATATATTTTCGTCCAATTTTAGGTAAATGGAGCACCAAAGACCCTATATATCTTTCGATTTGCACGAAACTTGTCATAACGTACTGAATTGAGCCTAGACTGATGTCTGCCAAGTTTCGTGAAAATTCGTGCAGATTTAGATATAGCTCCCATATATATTTTCGTCCGATTTAAGGTGAATGGGGCACCAAAGACCCTATATATCTTTCAATTTGCACGAAATTTGGCATAACGTTCTGAATTGAGACTAGAGTGATGTCTGCCAAGTTTTGTGATCCCATATATATTTTCGTCCGATTTACGGTAAATGATACACTGAAGTCCCTATATATCTTTCGATTTGCACGAAATTTGCCATAGGGTACTGAATTAGGTCCAGAATGATGTGTGCTAAGTTTCGTGATTATCGGTTCAGATTAAGATATAGCTCTCATATATAGTTTTGTCCGATTTAAGGTAAATTGAGCTCAAAGTCCCAATATATTTTTCGATCCGCACGAAATTTGGCATAGGATACTGAATTTGGTCCAGAATAATGATATGTTGTAAGTTTCGTGAAAATCGGTTCAGATGTAGATATAGGTCCCATATAAATTGTGCACTAATGACACAACGTTTGGTAGACCGGCACACAATTTTGTACAATGTACTGAAGTTACTATAACCTTTCGTGTGTAAAGTTTTTTTTTCAAATCGGTTCAGATTTACATATAGCTTTTATATATACTTTCGTCCGATTTAGAGTAAATTGTGCACTAAATACCCATAGCTAGGCCGATTGACGCAACGTATTGAAATTAATATAAATTAATATCCTTGAAATTGATTCAGAATTAGATATATGACATGTGTTGGGATCAATGTTAATCGGTTTACTTATAGAAAAAGATCTCATATTTAAGTTCGGATACATATGTATATTATACCCAAAGTGGTGAAGGGTATCATAAAGTCGGCCAAGCCCGACTTTACTACTTTCTTTACTGGTTTTAGAAATGAAAGAAAAATACTACTATTTTAACTTTCACTCATCCGCTGATGTTGTTTTTGTCTTTCTTCACCTCGCTCCCTCGTTCGCGATTTAGATTGGATCACTTATTATACCATCTGTACGTAAAGTGGATTCCGGAAATTATACCTGCCAGCCATCGAATAGTGCATCTGTATCCGTTGACCTACATGTGCTTAGCGGTAAGTGTTCTATAAATAGTTTGTATGGTTTCTGTATTCTCTTCCTTGCTAGCTTATTTTGTAACATTGTTTCGCTTTCACTTTCATTAGCCCAGATACTTTCACACATAGCGGATCTACGTGGTTTATATGCAGCTACTGAATGTTTAACAAACCCTGTTAAATGAGTGGAATTAACTTTGCCACAACAACAAAACTGTTTTTGTTGTGCAATTTTTTGTTTTTGTTCACATAAAAGAATTATAAATAAAGTGCATTTTGTTTTAGGGGACATGTTAATTAGAAGAGGTTTTGAATGCATCTGCATTTTCGAAAACAATGCAATCAATTGTTTGTGGGTTTTCCTGAAAAAGAAGTATTTGTAGGTCATACAAGTATTTGTGATGGTAATCACATAAAGAATGTAGGGCATATATCAAATCATATCAGCGATGTTCTATAATGGTGGATTTTTTTTAGAATAAGGTGACATTTATAATCCGATTGAGTGACACAGTGCCACAGGTTATATATTTGGCCCAAAGACGCATCCTATTGAAATTGGGGAAATTCGGTTGAGATTTTTATATAACTCCTATATTTATTTACGTCCGATATTAATGCCAATTTTTCGATAAGGTTCGTCATTGGACCAAAGAAATGAGCTGTACCAAATTTCATCCAAATTAGATTTTAAATGCGTCTTGTACTTTATTTAAAATTTAACACCAACAGACGGACGGAGAGACATGCATAAAACGACTGAGAAAGTGATTTTATGCATATTCTCAAAAGGAACTATGGGTCTATATAGTTTTTGTTTTGTTACAAACATATGCACAAACTTCTAATACATTGTTGTGAAGGGTATACAAAAACCGAAAATCAGTATGTATCATTATATAGGAGCTAGGCCTAACTACGGGCCGATATAGTTCATTCTCCAACATGACGTTCTAATTTTTATTTCGATATCCTCCGAAGGTAGAATGAGTACAACATAACTCGTCTTAAAGCTCTATACTGTGTAGGGTATATAGTGAACATTTCGAATAAAGAATATGGTGGAATACATCTAAATGGGGACAACCCGAAAACGCGAATCAAAGCAGTTAATTCTTTTATTGTAAAAAGGACGTTATATGGGGACTACCCCTAAAAGGTGCGAATATTAATAATTCTTGGGTTACAGCGAATTCGGTTGAAGAACGCGTTCCGAACTGAAAATACCGAAAATTGTGTGGTACCGATATATTGGGTCTAGTCGAAAAAGTGGACATATTTTAACATATACGAACAAGTGGACCTGTATATATAATTTTTCGTGGAAACATTTGGAACGCAATGAGAATAATAAGTACCACACCCAAAATACAAAAAAAAAAAAAAAATGAAACTCTTCACCACTTTGGGTATATTCAACAGATGAATCCTAACAGCCGTCGCATTTTTTAAGGACCAGTAAAACAAAATTGGATTCCTAAACATGTCATTCTGCAACCGATACTCAATTTTTCATTTGGTCAGATATAGAAGCTATATCTAAAACTAAAACGATTTCAGCACACTTAACACACATAATTCTAGACCTATTTCATTACGGTGTCACAAACCGAAAGACATTAAGGGACTTCGGTACACCATTTACCTTAAATCGGAACAAAATATATATGGGAGCTATATCTAAATCTGAACCGATTTTCAAGAAACTTAACACACATCATTCTAGACCTAATGTATTACTCCGCACCGAATTTCGTGCAAATCGGAAGATATATAGGCACTTTGGCGCACCATTTACATCAAATTGGACGAAAATATATATGGGAGCTATATCTAAATCTGAACCGATTTTCAGGAAACTTAACACACATCATTCTAGACCTAATTTATTACGCTGTGACACACATCATTCTAGACCTAATGTATTACTCCGCACCGAATTTCGTGCAAATCGGAAGATATATAGGCACTTTGGCGCACCATTTACATCAAATTGGACGAAAATATATATGGGAGCTATATCTAAATCTGAACCGATTTTCAGGAAACTTAACACACATCATTCTAGACCTAATTTATTACGCTGTGACAAATTTCGTGAATATCGAAAAGATATATAGGGACTTTGGAGCACCATTTACATTAAATCGTACGAAAAAATATATAAAAGCTATATTTAAATCTGGATCAATTTTCAGGAAACTTAACACACATCATTCTAGACCTAATTCATTACGCTGTGCCAAATTTCGTGAATATCGAAAGATATATAGGGACTTTGTTGGACCATTTATATTAAATCGGATGAAAATATATATGGGAGCTATATCTAAATCTGAACCGATTTTCAGGAAACTTAACACACAGCGTTCTAGACCTAATTCATTACGCTGTGACAAATTTCGTTCAAACCGAAAGATATTAAGGAACTTTGGTACACCATTTACCTTAAATCGGAAGAAACTATATATGGGAGCTATATATAAATCTGAACCGATTTCCACGAAACTTAGCACACATCATTCTAGACCTAATGTATTACGCTGTGCAAAATTTCGTGACTATCGAAAGATATATAGGAACCTTGGTGGACCATTTATATTAAATCGGATGAAAATATATATGGGAACTATATCTAAATCGGAAGCTTTTGCTACATCATTCTAGACCTAATTCATTACGCTGTGCCAAATATCGTGAATATCGAAAGATATATAGGGACTTTGGTGGACCATTTATATCAAATCGGATGAAAATATATATGGGAGCTATATATAAATCTGAATCGATTTTTCCCAATTTCAATAGGGTTTGTCCTTGGACCAAATAAGTGACCTGTGCCAAATTTCATCCAAATCGGATCATAAGTGCGACGTGTACTTTGTTCACAAAAATACATGGACGGACAGACGGACATGCGACTCAGAAAGTGATTCTATGCATATTCTCAAAAGGAACTAGGTGTCTAACTCGTTTCCTTTTGCTTGTTACGAACAAGTGTATTTTTAGTGGAAACATTTGGTACACAATAAGAATGCAAAGCATCATATTACAGTGAATTCGGTTGAAATCGCGTTCAAGATCCCGAATATTAGGGGTTACCCTTATGTGGGAGGTATGCCTAAACGTGGCCCCAGCCATGTCCAGCCAGGCAGGCAACCCTAGTATTTTGCCTCTTTAGACCCAAAGTTGTGACGGGTATCACATAGTCGGACCCGGTTGACTTTTTTAATTTTCCTTACAAAATGCTATGTCTCTCCGATCGACGGGATATTGGACATATACAACCATAATTATTAGAAAGGATATTTAGTTAGGCTTCGTTAAAAACGATATAGGGCATAATAAAAATCTTTGGAGCACCGTATTCGCTTACTCCAATATGTGTATGGTATCATATAGACTGTCCCGTACGACTTTTATCACTTCCTTACTGATACCTAAATTTGAGCGGGTCTCTTAATTTGGGGGTTATGTCAAAATATATTCGCAACGAGGAGGAATTTTTTCTCTTTTCATAATAACAAAATAGACAATTTTCCTTTGAACGGGATTATATGGAATTTATAGGGACCCGGACGAATAATTTGGTGTACTGAAAACCCAATGACAAAATTGGCACCCCAACCAAAATATTTTTGTAGAATTTTAATATAATAAACACTTCAAGAATATTTCTTAAAACCAGCTTTTTGTAAGCTTACACCTCCGATGTTCTATGAATTCATTTTTTTTTAATTAAAAAATCTTTGTTTTTCAAAAACCCCGCCGTTATTTTGCGAAACTTCTTTCATATAAAATTTATTGATAATTCAAACCTCACATTTTTATCTCAGAACTTATAACTTATATTATATGCATCCAATAGAATATGCACTCTCGTGCATTTTCCCACAAACCCCCTGTTTCAATAACTTGTGTTCAATTGTTGTACACATACCTATATAAGTACAATTCAAAGAATTCTTAATTGATAAACTTTTACATAAGTAATACGTAAACGACCACTTTTGAATATCAATTATGTCTACATTCAGAAAGTGATTAAAAATTTAATTAAGTGCCACTCTGGAATAACAACCAGAATCCTTCTACAATAAAATACCCTTAACACGTGCTCTCTCCACCATCTCTCCCCTCTCTATACCACACTTTCTACTCTGCCCATAATTGCAAATCCTGAATTTTAATTACATGAAGTTATATTTGAATTCTTTGGAAATATTTCACCCACATTTGTGTGTTACAAATTAAACGTTGATGTGGAACGGAAATAAAATGAAAACGAAAATTGTAATTTTAATAATTAATATCTATGGAATATTTGTGATTGTATGTTATGTATTTAAGTTGAATAGGATGTATTTCCATATGTCTTCATTTCAAATATTCGAAAAAGGAAAATACACAAGGGACAGGGTGGCTCAAGAGTCCTTGGAGCCTACGAAATATTGTTTCTTATTAGTTGGTGTGTACGTGTGTGATTCGATCCCCAACAAGATGTATACAGAAGCAGTGCCTTAATGTAGAATAGACCAATATATATGGGAGCTATATCTAAATCTAAACCGATGTTCACGAAACTTAGCACACATTATTCTAGACTTAATTAAGTGCGCTGTGCAAAAATTTCGTGCAAATCGAAAAATATATAAGGTCTTTGGTGAACCATTTATATAAACTCGGACGTAAATATATATGGTAGCTATTTAAATCTAAACCGATTTTCCCCAATTTCAATAGGGTTCGTCCTTGGGCCACACAAATGAGCTTTGCCAAATTTCATCCAAATCGGATTATAAATGCGACCTCTACCGTGTTTACAATTTAACACCAACTGACGGACATACGGACTATGCTTACTCTCAAAAGGAACCATGGGTCTATATGTATTAGAGCTTATATTTAATATGTAGCTAGTAGGTATATATTCTTTGGACTTCATTCGTCAAGACTTGATCATATACGACACATATCAAACGAAAAATCTAAAAAAATCAATTTTTTGTAAAGTTATGAGCATTACAATATAGAGAAGAGGGCAAAAATGAGTTTAGCGGAGCAGTATAGTCGGACGGGGCCGACCATACGATACCCTACACAACTACCACGAAACTCAAATTTTCTGCGGATGTTTATTCTGAGCCTGAGCAATATTTCGTGATGTTTGCACCCTCTTGCCCGATTAGAGGTAAACAGCACCTCTTCCTCACAATGACATTTTATCCGAACGTTACGAGTATTCAGTACAGCTATTGTACAGTACAGCTATTGTACAGTACAGCTATTGTCCAAATTCCCTTCACCGTGGGTTGTGTTGTGATGTTCGGCTTTCATTTGTGGTCTATAGATCGACTCGAAAATAACACAAAAAATAAAATTTTCGGTCCACTTCATTCCAAAATTATTATCTGAGCGAAAATTATAAGCATTGTCCTTGACCATAACTGGAACCTCATGGAACATTTCAAAGCGATCAGTGCTATAGTTCCGCCCTCTAGAGTGATAATGGGTTACTAAATAATATACGAATACGGAGATACCTGTAAATATTTAGATGTAACTCCCACATCCGAGCACATACAACAATATTATTGGTATTAATTTAAAGGTCAATCACTTCTCTTGGATATAATATCTACTTCTCAGGTCTATGTCCTTCATATAGAATACAAATTTTGTCAGGGTCCATTTGATCCGCTAAATATTGACCGATCTTTATCAAAACAGGCTTGCTTATTCTTTGGCCCGATCCCCTTCTCCATGCAAAATTTCACGATGTTCGGGCCATTATTGCGGCCTCTGAAGTGACCAGAAAAACGGACAAAAATGTAGTATTTGGCAATTTCATCCTCTAAATATTAACCGATCTTACCCAAAAACAATAGGGGTCTTCATTGGCCAGAACCGATCCTACATGCAAAATTTCGTGAAGATTGGTCCATAACTGTGGCCTGTATCGTGTTTAGAAAATATAATAGACGGACGGACGGACACACATGACTATTTCATAAGATATGACGATCGGACACACTGTAAAGGTGGGTCTAGGACCAATATTTCGCGGCGTTATAAACTCTTGGGGCTGCACAATGCTATTATACCCTGACAACATAGTTGTGTAGGGTATAAAAAATTCATTTTTTTGTAAAGTTATGAGCATTTCAATATAGAGAAGAGGGCAAAAATGTGTTCAGTACTAATTTGTGTATACAGGCCAAATTATTTAAATCGCTTTGTATTCGAATTGTAGGAATTCTGTCATCAGCATTTTTCGTCCGTTTTTCCGTCGATTTTGCATTTGGTTATCTTGATATTCGACTTTTATTTTTCTGGAAGAACGTACTGCATCTTCCCCAATGCAAGGATGTAACAATGTCAAATTTTCCGCATATCCTATTTGGGATAGTTGCAGAAAATTGTTCTATGATTACGGAAAAAATCGGGGCAAAAGGGTTAATATACACGCCACCTAATTGTAAAGTGTATAACAACCTAACTGATTTTAGAAGCTTAATACAGGCTTTAAAGCGAAATAAATTTAAAGCTGATCTCTTCATGTAGCAAATTCACAAAAACACATTACTAAAACTATAAAAAAAATTTAACTACAGTGAAACGTCTTAAACATGAATACCAATTTACAATGTCTGTTTAACTATTATTCTATTCTTGGCAGAACAGGGATAGATTTTATGAACGAATCTCGTCATTATATTTTACATAATTTTTCAACGTATATTTATTAAAATTACAACCATTTACCTTTTAACACCATCTTTCCCCCTTCTCTCATTACAGGTGAATACTCAGCATCGGCCATTATGTCAGCAGCACGAACTTATGCCCTTAATGATGCGTATCTGTTGATTTTACTTTTATTGATGTTATTACACAATACGTGATTGTTGAGCGAAAATACGAATTAAGTGCAACAATTAATTTAAATTTATCGACTAAACAATGGCATAGGGCGGTGGGCGTCAGTGTCTGTTGGGGGTAGCTGACAACAACAACAACAACAACAAAATGGGCATTTATTGCACATTGATACATTCATCGTTCGTTCGTTTGTTCGATCAAACCATCCATCCATTCCAACATGCATACAATACACATTTACGTTACGAACAACAACTGTAATGTGCTGTAAATGTGTGTGCGTGCAGGCGTAAGTGTGTCTGTGGCCTGTGGTTGTGGTAAACAAATTAAGATGAAGGACAACAATAACGGATTAGTCGTAATCGAAATCCCAGACACGTTTAGGATAGCAACAACAATAACAAAAAAATAACATCAACAAATTCAACAACAACAACATAAGTAGTCTAAGGTAACTCTATTATCTTCATCAACATTGATATTTGTAAATAATAAAAATAAACGAGCAAAACAACAAAAGAAAACAAAAACATTTACAATAAAATAAAAACAAAAGAACAGCAACATAAGAAATTATATTTAATATTAGTTGTCTGACTGCTCGTTCAGCTCATCATACACAAACATACATAGTTGATATTATTGTAAAATTAACTTTAAATTTAATATTTATTTATAGAAAAAAAATGCAAAACAAATAAAACAAACTCTACAGACATGATGATAAACTTAAAGTTGTGAAATATCAATAAATGTTGCTAAGAATTTTGGCAATTTTTATTTAACAAAAACAAAAAATACAAAAAAGCAAAAAAAAAAAAAAACAAACATGAAATTAAGACTAAACGAAAATACGAAAGAAAAAGGTGAAAACTGTGGCACGTGTTAACAAAACTCAAGTTGTTAGCATCAATTGTGTATTATAGATATATAAAAACAAATATGTAGATGGTATATTTACTAATTGGATTGAAAACAACATAAACAGTTATTTTGCAATTATATCATATTTCTTTAAAAAATTTAATAAGTTGTGTCAAATATTTTATTTCAGTGAGGAATAAACTATTTAAATTCTGATTTCGTCCAAAAATCAGCATCTAGAAGGTCCTGAAGTTTTATATTTCGTAACAGTAAATTGATAACAAGGTATATATATATATATATCGTCTCTCCCTGTAAAGCCAATATTTAATGCTGGAAAATTTTATACCCTACACAACTAAGTTGTCAGGGTATTATAGATTTGTGCAGCCCCAAAAGTTTGTAACGTCACGAAATATTGGTCTTAGACCCACCTTTAAGTATACCGATCATCATATCTGTGTCGATCTAGACATGTGTGTCGGTCCGCCTATCCGTCTGTCCATTATAACTTGTAAACACGATACAGGCCACAGTTATGGACCAATCTTCACGAAATTTTGCATGTAGGATGGGTTCTGGCCAATGAAGACCCCTATTTTTGGTAAAGATCGGTTAATATTTAGTGGGTGAAATGGACCAAAAACTTTATTTTTGTCTGATTTTCTGGTCGTTCTAAAGGCCGAAATTATGGCCCAAACATCGTGAATTTTTGCATGGAGATGGGGATTGGGCCAAAGAATAAGCATGACTCTTTTGATAAAGATCGGTCAATATTTAGCGGGTCAAATGGACTTAATTGTTTTTGGTTTTTTTTCGAGCCGATCTAAAGGCCACAATTGAAATCCGAACATAACAACACAATCCACGGTGGAGGTCAAGAGAGTGCAAATATTGTCCAAGATCAGAATATAGAACAACAAAAAGTTAGATTTTCGTGGAAGTTGTGTAGGGTATCACATGGTCGGCCCCGTCCGACCGATCACCGGTTTTTTATTACAAAATACTGCACTGACTTTGACATCAAGAACAAAATTCGCCCAAAACTTAGGTCCAGACTGATGTCTGCGGAGTTTTGTTAAAATCGGTTCAGATTTTGATATAGCTCCCATATGTATATATAGTCGTCCGATTTTATGTAAATGATGCACCAAACTCCCAATATTTGTCCGATTGGCACAAAATATTGCACAGAGTACTGATTTAGGTCCAAACTGATGTCTGCGAAGTTTAGTTAAAATCGGTTCAGATTTAGATATAGCTTCCATATATATAGTTGTCCGATTTTATGTGAATGATGCACCAAACTCCCAATATTTGCCCGATTGGCACAAAATTTTTCACATAGTACTAATTAGGTCCAGATTGATGTCTGCGAAGTTTAGTTAAAATCGGTTCAGATTTAGATACAGCTCCCATATATAGTTTCGTCCGATTTTATGTGAATGATGCACCAAAGTCCCAATATTTGTCCGATTGGCACAAAATTTTGCACAGAGTACAGAATTAGGTCCAGACTAATGTATGCGAAGTTTTGTTAAAATCGGTTGAGATTTTGATATAGCTCCCATTTATAGTTTCGTCTGATTTTTTGGTGAGTGATACACCAAACTCCCAATATTTGTCCGATTGGGACAACATTTTAGGTCCAGACTGATGTCTGCAAAGTTTAGTTAAAATCAGTTTAGATTTAGATACAGCTCCCATATATAGTTTCGTCCGATTTTATGTGAATGATGCACCAAACTCCCAATATTTGTCCGATGGGCAGAAAATTTTGCACAGAGTACTGAATTAGGTCCAGACTAATGTATGCGAAGTTTTGTTGAAACCGGTTCAGATTTAGATATAGCTCCCATGTATAGTTTCGTCCGATTTTATGTGAATGATGCACCAAACTCCTAATATTTGTCCGATTGGCACAACATTTTGCACAGAGTACTGAATTGTGTCCAGACTAATGCATGCGAAGTTTTGTTAAAATCGGCTCAGATTTAGATATAGCTCCCATTTATAGTTTCGTCCGATTTTTTGGTGAATGATGCACCAAACTCCCAATATTTGTCCTATTGGCACAAAATTTTGCACAGAGTATTGCATTAAATCCAGACTAATGTCTGTGATTTTTTTAATCGGTTTAGATTTAGATATAGTTCCTCTATATAGTTTCGTCCGATTTTTTGTTAATAATACACCAAACTCCCCAGATTAATGTCTGAGTAGTTTTTTTTAATCGGTTTAGATTTAGATATAGTTCCGTATATATTTCCGTCCGATTTTTTGTTAATAATACACCAAACTCCCAATATTTGTCTGATTGTGTAAAATAAAGCATTGCGAATGGTTTTGAGAAAAAAAATGATGCGTGATAAGGTTTGTTGAAATCGGTTCAGATTTTGATATAGGTCCTTTATATATTTTCGTTCGATTTTATATAAATGGTGAAAATTGGCAGAAAGTATTAAATTTAATATACTGATTACTAAAATCAAATGGTGTATGCAGCTTTTACTCAATTAGGTCCATGTGTTAATATATAATTCGACTCGATTTCATACAAATGGTACACCAAAGAATCCAAGTATGTCCCTTTTGACATGCAATTTTTCATTGATTGCAGAATTGTATGTGTATGCGGGTTTTCAATTAGTTCAAATATTTATCTAGTTAGCACATTTAATTTCGAAAGCCTGGGAGGCTAAAATCCGGTTTTATAGTTTAACTATACAAAAGTGCACAAACTTTTTAGATGTTGAAGTTTCTGTTTATAAACTGGTTAATGTATTTTTAACTAAAGAACTAAAAGTACACAAACTTTTTAGATGTTGAAGTTTCTGTTTGCCTAAAAATATATACTCAAAGATTTTGCTATTGAAAGAGAATTCCCATAAAAACTTGAAAGGTGGTTACTCAACGAAGAATAAGCTTTATATCTTTTTGCTGCCGTAGTAGGTTATTTTTGAGATGATATGCCTTCTGAATCCAATGAGAAATATTTTTGTAAAACATATCTCTATGAATTTGTCCTTCTGGATCCTTAATATACTCGTCAAAGGTTTTTACCACCATAAGGAATTTCCTAGCCTCCAAAATCTTGTTGCAAAGTGTAACAAAACCTCTAGCAAAGCATTTGTTTGTTTCATTTTCCAATCAGTTTTGACTTTAGTGAATTGTTTTGTTTTCAGCCTAATTTCTATATGATACAATTGCAAAAGCCGATAGAAAAATCAAAATTAAAATTAAAAACAAAATAAATTAAATAAACTACATACTATTTTCCAAAACATTTAGCGTAAAGGAATTTTATACCAAATGCCCGCATAGAAACATTTTCATAGTGAATTAAATAAAACCGGAAAAACAGCAACTACAAATGCAACAAAAAAATGTTTCTGTGAAGAAGAAGCATTTATGTTATTTTTCAATTAGAAAATATAAATTGGAAAATGCCATTTATGTTGTGGTTAGCTTTGATTATTCTATCTTTGAATTGAATAAATCCCCATAATGCTCAAAATCTCTTAAGCATAGACAGACGAACAACAAATACATTTTAAATAGCCAATCGAACATGCAGACATACATATGTAATATATATTCAAATATAAACAAAGATATGTCTATCTTCATTTAAACTCTCCAATATATAACTCGACTCCTAGTGCAATCTCCTCTCTTTCTCTCCAAAGTAAACACATAATCAATTACAGAATAAATAAATAAATCAACAATAAGAAAAATAAATAACTAAGAGTAATGTTTCCTTCTATCTAAAGTTTATATGTAATAAATCTGAAAACCATAAAACTAATAATAGTACGAGAAAAGATCGAATATTTACTATTATACAAATTAAATTAAATTCATTTTTTAGACCTAAGTAACTTTTGTGTATATATTTTCATACGTAATGTAATTTATAAATAAAAAAAAAATTCAAAAATGTTAACATTTTACTTTTAAGTAAATCCAAAGAAGAAAAAAATGATAACGAAAAAAAACATGAAATGAATGTAATTCTCTTTCTCATATAAAAATAAACATAAAAAAATCCAAAAGAAATATAAAATATGGAAATAAAAAACAATAGCAGTTGTTGTGTTTGTTTCGGTTCGGCATTTGTCTGCAACGGTAAGTTGAGAGTATTAATTTTGCAATGTTTTTTTCCAACTGAAATAAAACCCATGTTTATAATCCCTGTTTTCAGACCC